AGGCCTGGAAACCAAGTTAAGGTTTACCACACTGGACACCAAAAGGTAAAGAAAGCTATATCTGTGATAATTAGTAATTAATTAATTAATTAGTAATTATCAAATTCTTGTCTTGCACTTTCCATGATATCTGCAAAGTAAGCTTCCATCTTCAGACTGCTGCATAGTTAAGATGCCGTTGATGTTGTTGTTGCTGATACTGCTGTTGCTGTTGCTGTTGCTATTGCTGTTGCTGTTGTTGTTGCTGTTGCTGTTGTTGTTGCTGTTGCTGATGCTGTTGTTGCTGCTGTTTTTGTTGTTGCTGTTGTTGCTGTTGTTGATGCTGTTGATGGTGCTGTTGTTGTTGTTGCTGCTGTTGCTGCTGTTGCTGTTGTTGTTGCTGCTGTTGCTGCTGTTGCTGTTGCTGTTGTTGTTGTTGCTGTTGTTGTTGCTGCTGCTTCTGCTGTTGTTGTTGTTGTTGCTGTTTCTGCTGTTTTTGCTGTTGTTGTTGTTGTTGAAGGATCAAGTGTAGATAAATGACGCTTTTTTATATTTTCAGTTACCAGTGTCCAGTCAATTCAAAGTAGGAGGTGGTCTTTCCTGGCATTGCAGTCTGCCGTTGTGTGCATCTGGTGAAGATATGAAGGTCCATATGTGGGCTGTTGAACTGTAGATAACATTAGATAGTCACCGAAACTTTATATTAAATATTATCACATTCAATAAAAACATTTTCATATAGACTGGTGTTCCATCTTAAAATGACACTTACTATGTTCAGATTATGCTGTTAAGACATTCTCTGCTGTTTAATGCATACTTCATCATTGAAACACACCATGGGCCGATCCAGGATTTTCTCAAGGGTGGGGTACAGGTTACAWGAGGAGGGGGTGCACAATGCAAAAATTGTCCAAATAGATACCAAGGGAAAGTTTTGTATAAGGTCTCAGTACGGGTCTTGAGGGTGCATACTACCACAGGGAGCCCATGGGAAATTCTTGAGGGGTGTATACCAGTCTCGTTCCCAGGACTTCACTGCTCACTGACACCACAGGAAACCCAAGAATTATAACTTTTTTTACAAAACATTTGCAGCCAATTCAGTATAAGTTTTTTTGTGTGAATTAATCATCTTTTTTGTATGATTGGATTAATAATAGCGTTTTTTTGCATTTTATACAAATTTTGGAATTTTTTTAGAATTGGTAAAATTTTAATTTTTTGCATACCAGGAGCCATTATTACTCTCAATCTCCTTTGGCGTGAAAAAATTGTTAATAAATTGGAAGAACTAAAATTTCAAGTGACAGTTGATGGGATCCCTGTGCACTTTAGCATTCAGTAGCACAGGGATCCCAAATTATATTGCCAAAAAATATCTTTATCGAATTTTTTTCAAATAACATTTTCATCAGTTGCTATGGATTTGGTTAAAAATAGAATCGCAAAGAAATATTTTTTTAATCAGTAGATCTTGATCAAAAACGCCATTTTTAATGTCTACTATTTCCCCTTACTCCAACTTGGGCTTCCTGTGTAACAAGCTTAGTCAGTGGCACAGGGATCCCAGATTTGATTACCAAAAAACATGTTTATCAATTTTTGGGTAAAAAAACGTTATCATCAGTTGTAATAGATCTAGTTAAAATAGAATCGCATAGAAATATTTTTTTAGTCAGTTGATCTTGATTAAAAATGCCTTTTTTATGTCTTGTATTTTTCCTTACTTAACCTTGGGCTTCCTGTGTAATAAACTTAGTCAGTGGCACAGGGATTCCAGATTTGATTAGCAAAAAAACATGTTTATCAAATTTTGAGTAAAAAAACGTTATCATCAGTTGTAATGGATCTAGTTAAAATAGAATCGCATAGAAATATTTTTTAGTCAGTAGATCGTGATTAAAAGTGTGTTTTTTCATGTCTTGTATTTGACCTTACTCCAACTTGGGCTTCCTGTGTAATAAGCTACGATTTGCTCGACCATTCGATTTAATTCCTTACGGTCGGTTTATGTCTCGACATTTTAAGGCATTTAAAGTACCAAAGAAGTCTTTAAGGAAAAAGATGATTCATTTTAAATTGTGTGTTGTTAGACAGTAAGTAATTCTATTATATGTTGTAGATATAGCTAAAACAAGTGCACCTCTGTAATGCATAAACTCAATTTTTTAGTGAATTCTTAAGTGATTATTAGGCACCTTGATTTTATTTTCAGTGCTTTTCAATTTGATCTGTCGTCTTGATTGCTATCAGTATGTTTTCGATAAAACTACAAATGTTTATTTCATTGTCAAAACACTTTGGAACATAGAATCATTAAGTTTGACTTCGTTTTCTCGAAATATATTTCAGATCACGTGATTGTACACATATATGAACCTAGTTTTATTTTAAGGGATTTAAGACTATTTTCGTTATTTTTCCTAATTATTTCTTTATCCTATTTAGTGGAGAAACTCCTCAAAATAAGAATAACATTTATCAAGGTAAGAGGGTAAGAGGCCGGAAGGCAATTGGTCGCATTATTGAGTCCTACTACATTGAGAACACCCCTTCCCTGTTGACTTATTTGAAGAATGAATAAAGGAATGAATGAATGAACGAATGAATAAATGATTGATTGATTGTGTATTGATTTTATCCTGTCATTACATTCTAAGGTCATCTTGATTCAGTCTTGTCAGAGGAAGGTGTACGGCAGGCAGAGCTTGCAGGTGAAAGACTCAAAGACGAACAATTTACACATGTATTTGCCAGTGACTTGAAAAGAGCTTATACGGTATAGTCTTTGATTATATTTCCCATACATATAACTGAGTTATGTAATAGCACAATAATGATATGAGTTGCATACATACAGCTGGTTTAAATGACTCCAGATGTTTATGGAGCTAAAATTGCTGTGATTATTGATTGGTGATAACATTTGACCATACATCAAAAGCAGTCAGTTTAATTGGAATGAGTAAAAGCAAAGATGGGAGGGGGGTTAGGAAGGAAGGAAGGAAGTTAACAAAGGAATTCCAAGAAGACAATTATAGGCCTGTTTCAATACAAATTATMTGAACAGGCACTGACAAATATTTTTGAAACCATTTTTTTTTGGAGAGAGTTTTATTTGAGTTGTTTTTATTTTACCCTGATTGTTTACTGTATTTTCACATGTAAAGACAGCAGAGAACATCCTCAAAAGAAACAAATACCAAGAGGGATTAGTTCTGATCAAAGATCCTCGAATAAGAGAAAAGGTTTGTTGGAACTACATGTACACAACATATTATTAGTCTACTATTTCTCACCCAACATTTTGGGAACAAAATACATATATTTTCCTGCTTATTTCATATTTATTTTTTCTATTTATTACAACTTAGTTATATATTTTACACGATAGGCATTTGGAGTATGGGAAGGAAAAACAAAGGAGTTTGTMATGGAAGAAATYCGTAAACACAACTCAACTCCAATGGACTTTGTMCCTGAAGGTGGTGAAAGTTTACCTCAAKTCACAGAACGACTTGTGGACTTTTTCAATGACCTTTGTAAGAAAATGCACACTGAAGCCACAAGTGATRAAATACCAAAACCTTGTGAAGATAGTRAGGAGAGCAGCTCACAAGGCAGTGGAGACTCTASAGCTGTCAATCATGTTCTGATGGTTTGCCATGGTGGTGCAATACGACAACTYTTTTACCATTTTATTCGCAATGTTTCATCAGARTTTCAAGGAGCAAGAAAAAAGGATGTTGGAAAGCTTTGTCCCAAYACAGGGGTTTCAAACTTAGAAATCTTTGTAGGTAGAGAGTCAGCCAAAGTGGAATTTGTRAAGTGCACAATGCTTTATGATGCATCACATTTAGTTRTTGATGATGAGAAAATTTTGTATTCTTGTGAAGAAAGAGCTTTATGAAGTCAATGGATTTGTTAGAGTACAAACACTAAAACTGTGCAACGTAAATACCACTAAATATGCTAAATTATGCCAATTCATTATTTTCTTTTGTTTAATTACCTATTTAATTGTAGTAAATAGTGCAAAGTGTTGCACACTTTTAGTGTTTGTACTCTACCCTTTGAGCAGTAGGATCATTCTCTATTTACCTGTTTGCAGGGTACTGGTTTTGTATTTACTGAACACTAGGCATAATTTTAAAAAATATTGATTTTATTTGCACCAGAACATATTTAAATTACTGAACAATATGTATTTTGTACAAATAGGTACTTGTAATAACTAATATCATGAAAAAATTGTATTTTTTGGGACATGTCAATATGTTTATAAATGGATTCATTGTTATATTTCCTTGACAATATACATATTAAGCCTAAGAATAATATTGTTTACACATAGTTTTTATTTGATTTAATCAAAAWCTAAAATATCTATAGACTTACTACACTTGGACCAATTAAACACCATCCATTTAGCTGGTARAYAAGCTCTCAGGGGAGGACTGGGAGGCTAWCATCAAATGCTAAATTTCCTAGATTAATCCTACAAACAACGATGGTAAAATCACTTATGCAAAATGCTTCAATCAGTCAAGAYAAATAAACAAAAAACACCATTTTTAGTTTTTAACTTGGGAGCCACTATGAATAATACATTATTTTATATGTCTATGTTTACTAGGGATTTAGGAGCTCATCTGTGTTTGATAACTGGTGAGAAGAAGATTAGTCAACAATCCTCCTCACCCCTTTGTTGAGACAGGAATACCATGATTGAATATAAAACTCTTAGAACCAMAGATCATCAGGATCTGTATGTTTCTTCCCTAGTTTCAACTCTTCCCAGATAGCAAGTTGCTTTAAGAATCCTCTATTTGGCCTGATACAAGTTCTCTTGTCTTTYAGAAAGTCATATGCCTGTCGCAATGTCCATTTATTGGCATGTATCAAATAAGCGATAGTAACCGTGGAGCTACGGCTCACACCCAAATTGCAGTGCACAAGAACACGCCCACCACTTGACAATGCATTGATTATGAAATCAGTGGTTTTATCAAARTGCTTTATGAGCTGAGTATGAGAAACATCATCTAGTTTTAGAGTTAGATAGTTAACTTTCTCTGGAAATGCACTGGCATGTTCCTGTGTGATGTTAACAATATGTGTTATYTGTAGGTCATCAATAACTTTAAGGCTTGTGGCTTGATCACCACGCCCTTGGTAGAGATGGTTTTCTATGATTGCTGATGGATATACTTGTAGTGTTTTGAAATCCACCTTTTCTTGGTCAGAACATAGAAAAGGGAATGCTTCAARAAAGGATTCAAACCCAGACACTAATATAAATGACTCTGTGTYGTAGCTTGCGTCAAGTTCTCGCATAAGCTTAATTTCATCATTGCTATCACCAGCATCATCTGTCAGATCATTTCCATAAATGATCACCCAAGTGAACTCAGATATATTGAMGTTTGAAGGAAAGCCATATATATTTTTTTCATGCAAATCGTTAGTAACATATGTCACATGGCGCGCCATTAGAATGTGATTAGTATTGTACTCCTCTTTGCTTCGAGTGTCAATCAAAAGGACATAAGTAGGGTCACAAATGCAGGGTGATAAGGCTCCATCATTGAGAATATTGTACAATTGTGTTACACTCAATGACATATTCTTGAGGTTGTCAGTGTGGTTGACAACACCGGAATTTTCAATTAATCCTTCCTTTTCCTCTTTCCTTGAGCTCGGCGAGGAAACTGTGGTCGTTTCAGAACCTCCTGAGTTTACTTTACCAGCAAAACYGCWTCTCTGATGCCCYGYATCAAAAGATAAACTTTTATTCAAGCCTGWTTTGGAGCTGCGTCGTGTTTGCTCTTCTGAAGTTGACTTAGGATTTGAACGCGTATCAGGCTTCCTCTCAGAAGAAGATCTTCTCACACGTATATCTCCACTGCTTCTTTTTCTAAACCTAACATGTGAAATCCAGAATTTTTTGCTGTCTTTTCGTTCGTGAGTAAAGTTGTTTTCGGAGTTCAACCCAGATATGTTATTGTCCTGGTCAGGCTCTGAGGTCGAGCCAACTTTGGAACTTGTCTTGGATCGTGATGATGCATTGCTTAGTGTCCTTCTTGAATACGAAGATCCCATGATCTAATACAAAGTAGCTCAATCAAATACTCTAATTTCCTTGCATTGCGATTTTGAGTATCTCTTTGTTTTCAAACAAAATTTTTTGGTTCTTGGCCGTTGGGAAACTGGCACTAATTTGAGTTGTATTACCCATGATGCTCTCTTCCCATTTCCATCCATCTATTTTTATTCTATTTTAACTTTTTATTTGTCATCTTTTCTCAAGATGGTCATAAGGGCCTAAGACACTCGCTTATATATCTAAAGTTTAAGGGAAKAGTATGCATATTTTTTGTTTATTTTAATTTGACGCACCAAACTTATTGCAAAGCAGTCTGGGATATAAGCCGCTCCCTCTTAAATTTCTTCCAGGCGTTCCAAGTGAGAGTACTTGAAGCAGGAAGTCAGAGTGAACGAAGTTTCGTGAAGCAACGAAGTGTGTATTTTCAAGGAACGCGTGAAAAAAATTGCATCTAGAAGCATTTGAACTTCATATTTTCGATTTCTTGTCCTGCATTATAGATTTTTTAACAAAATCCATCCGCTATAATGTAGAGAATGACGATTTGGACGCTAGACGCTCATGGCTGACAAGAATGTGCAACGAAGCAGTTTCTTGTTTTAGGAGGTTTTACYCAGATTTCGCTGTACGTGAAGCTTCTAACAGGTAACACTATTAATTAAACTTACAAGTGTTTGATTTATGTTGGTATTTTGTCATAAAAATGTMAAATTTGCGCATGAATATCTAATTAAATTATGCTAATTTATTACTAGCAGAGTCTGCGTGCATTCAAATCTTAGAAAATATATTGTTTATTTCAGACTGCATGTAGAAGACAGACGTACTTGCATATCTGGAAATTATTGAAAATGGATGAAGAGGAAAGGTACGATCTAGATGTCATCTTAGCATTATAATCAACACCACAGAGTTAGGTATATGGC